CACTGGGTAAGATTCCTTGGGAAAGCCTGAGGGCTGCAGATTCCTCCTGGTACGCGACGAAAGGGAACCACAGATACAAAACATGGCCCAAAAGCGGGGGCTTGCCGCCTCCGGGAATGTGGCTAGGTCAGGACTGACGACGGAGCTCAATTATGGGAAGGGTTTTACTCGCAGCCCTGAGGGAAAAGTAGCTCTGCGATTACACGACTAAAGGCTGTGACCCCGACACGTGACATTGCATTGCTGTTTCCAATGGACGCCGGACCCGGTTTCCTGCAGGTGCTGCTCTCCACCAATAGACGTAGCAGCCCGCTGGCCAAGCCCTCCATTCTGGCGGTTCTCCTACCACCGCTGGGATAGTGGACTTGCGAATACAAAAAACGAAAGGGAAAAAAAAAAAGACTTGCCCGAATGCGCTGAGTCCGCTGACGACCGCTGAGGGCAAACCCAACCCTAATTTATCAGAGACACAAAACAATCATTATCGTGTAACAGAAACCAAAATTAACACAAATACAGAACACGATCGTGTTGCAACAGCGCGGCGGTTGCAGTTTTATCTGCACGAAGAGCTGGAGATGAAGGACAAGCGTGCACCGACAAACGTCGACTTCCGGGAGTGAGAGAACAGACTTCATGCCGCGACCAGTATCGCCCACACCGTAGCTGACAACGGGTTTCAAGCTGCGACCAGGTAACCGTTGTCCATTGTCATCTAAGCTACTACTTCGGGCGTGGGTGTTGCTCATGATTCTCTTACCTTTGGTGCTTTTTTTCACAGATTCTTCATTGTGTTTTTAGATTCTAATCATTTGGCTGTGTCTTCTCAGTATAGAATAGTACCAATCCCGGGGGGGGGGGGGGTTGGGAACCTTGGGGCGTATAACTAGTCTTTTTGGAGGTGTATAACTAGTCTTTTTGGGGGTGTATAACTAGTCTTTTGGGGGGTGTATAATTAGTATTTGTGGACTGGTGATTCGCTCGTTGACTTCGTTTGTCGACAATTAGGTTAGCGATATTTCGCTAGGTAGGGTTGGTGGTCGTTACGATGATCGTGATTTTCAAAGATTGGCGAAGATCTGCTACCTTGTTGCTGGTTGGGGGTGCTAATTAGAGGTATACAGAGTGTAGAGTGTCAATTTTGTGAATGGTTGTTGCTTTTGCCCGTGGGTTGGTCCATCACGTGGATTGCCGATTTAGGGTTTAGTTGGGGTTTAGTTGGGGTTTAGTTGGGGTTGCTGATTGGAGGTGCATAGGGTATTGAGTGGGAACTTTGTGAATCATTTTGGGATTCTGTCCATGGGTGATTACTAAATAGGATTAGATCATTGACAATTTTTTTATTTTTTATTTTTTTTGTACTTTTGGTTGGTGATTCGGTTACCTGGCCTGGATTTCGCTAGATTAAATTAGGGTAGGGTTGCTTAATAATGGGGGTTTGGAGAGGGGGTGGATTTTTTTTTTTTTTTTT